ACAAAAAAAAAAAAAAAAAGATTTAATCCAGATGTGTTATTATTCATTTCCTCCACACATTCACTTTGCGGGTCACATGGGTGACCATGCAAGAGGGTTTGCTGGGACTGAGGGGTTTCTTGCAACCTGAGACTTTCAGGCCTAAGACCAGGATGAGATGGCCGCCCTACTCACACACAAGCCTTAGCACATGTATCAGTAATATGCTCTGGTTTACCTGAATGAAAAAAACATTGTTTCGATGCAGAGTGGCCTAGGCAATTTTACAAGATCCCCAGGTGATTCTAATGTGTGGATAAGTTTAGGAGGCTGCTGCTTATTTATCCCATAACATTTTTAGCCTTCTAGTTAAGCCAGAACATTATTGCTGCTCTCTGTTCTATCTTTGCAGTCTCAGAAGACAAAGAGGCTGTAGTATATGAGTTTAGAAGTGGCTCATTAAAGTGGAAAGGGTGTGGATTTTGACATCAAAGAATTTGGAACCAAATTCTGTTTGCTCATGACCCAGGGACATTCATGTAACCTCTTTCAACTTGAATCTCCTATCTAAATCTAGGAATGTCTTTCAGTGTTACAAATTAAATGGAATAATGTCAGTGAAAGCAAATAGTGCCTCTGTTTAGTTTTTACTTCCTTGCTTATACTCTAATATCAAGACCAATATCTGTGGAAGGTATAGAGGGTGGTTTGCCGTCTCTGATGTGTTCCTTGAGCAGTTTACCTCCTCTTGAAATCACCATCATGAAAACAAAGTATAATAACAGAAAAATTTGTGTTAGTGGAAGTAAATGGCTGCTAAGAGTCTTAATTTTTTCTTATCCTGAATGCTGTTGCCTGTTTTAATTTGACAAAACTCTTGACCATGAGAGATAGTGGTTTTGTAAAACTTTTCATTAGTATAGCTGCCTAGTGCTTTGCTTAAAAACAATATTTTCTGCTTTAACTCTTTGCTGTGGCCATTTCATGGTATCAAGACATTGGAGTGAAGCTCTGTCACTTAGAGCTGACAACCTGGCCATATTTTTCCCACTGGAAAAAAAGGCCACAGTTGAGATCTTTTGAAAAATTTTGCTTTTATTAGTATGTATTTGCAGTCTATTATCATGGAAGGTTGGTTGGTACATGTAAATTACACATCTTAATTATTTTTACTTCCCCTTCCTCTGCCCCACTTCTCCCTCCCAAATTGAGATTGAATGATGTTCTGGCAGTACTTGAAGAGCTTTTATACAAAAAATGATAGCCAGCTGTTCTTCATCTTTACAGAAAAGAGATCCACCAAAATTAGAAAAGGACCGCTAAAGGATTTAGTTTCCACATAAGATTCTTCCAAATACCACGAGTTATTAGGTTGTCTTCTGAATCATCTGAGACAGTAAAGACTCTTAGTCTTTGGAGTCTATGAGAATGGAGTACATTCTCATCTGTCGGAGATGTGTTTTCTTTTGAATCAGTAAAATAGTGTCCTAGGCCAGTTTGTGATTTCTTGAAATACATCATGCCCTTCCCATAAGGCAGAAAATGAAAAAGAAATCATTTTTCCTAGGAAAGAATACCTCATTCTTCTGTTTTCTTCTATTTGCTTAATGGCTACTAGCCATTGATAAACAGAAGGGATTCCACGCTCCATTTTATTAGCTCTGTAAACTTGAAAAAAGCTTCTATCAGTCTCAATTTCCTAAGCCATAAAAGGAAGACGAACTTTCCTCTAGAAAGATCATATAAAAAGGCAATATGAAATGTAAAGCAAAACAAACTCTAAAGCACCACACAAATCTTAGTTTTATACAAGTATAGAAATAAAATTAAATTCTTTTGTATTGAAAATAAAACATTTTCCTGCTTCTTTAATTCTGACTTTCTATTAAATAAAACTAGTATGAAACCTGGATGTGTTATTGTAGAAAACTTGGGTTCTTAGTATATGTTTTTGATAAAGATAAGTAATAGTTCAGTCCAGTGGAAAAGCATGATTTCTGTTTCATGTTTTTGTTTTCAATTTTTTAGTCCTTCCCCCACCCCCACCAATTCCCAAAGTTGGTTTGAAATCTAGCTGAAAAAATAATGGAGTTTGAGCCCAGGAGATTTTCTTCTTGTGCCTTCAGTTCATTTCATCCAAGTATTGACTGGTACATTTTTTTCCTGTGTGTGTGTGTGCGTGTGTGTGTGTGTTGTGTGTGTATTTTTTTTTCTCCAGAAAATAATTTTGTGCTTTGTATAAACCCTCTAGTTAACTCCTAGCCACCTGACAGTGGAATTATTTAGGATTTGTATGGTTAGCTACATTTGGTTTCAGTGTTAAAATACTTAAGTAATTGTTAAATATAATTATTACTTAAAATATTCACAATGTTTCTTATAGAAATATTAAAGTGACAGATAAATGAAGTGATCCTTAATGTCAAAAAATGTTTTAAGTATAATGAAATTGTATGTACAGAATTGGTAATTCACTATGTGTATGTTGTATTGAATAGTTGTTCATAGTCAACTAGTAGTTACTTGTATCTCTCTATATCTGAGGGTAAGCCTGATTGGCTGTGTACCAAAATGCTAAGACAGTGGGATTTTAGATGATTTCTTTTTTCTGCTTTCTCTTTTCTTCTTTGTTTATATTTTCTAATTTTTATACAATGAATGTGGTTTACTTGTGTAAAACTTGGGGGGAATAGGGAAGAAAGACAGCTTTTGATAGTGTATCTTTCTGCTTTGTAGAATTTACTTTCTTAAAACTAAGACATTTAAAAAGTTAGAGCAGTGGTTAGAAAAATCCCTAGTTCTTGTCCAGGTGGAGAGGTACACAAGGCCACACTGTGAAGGTTTTTGGACAGTGGCTTTGTACATAGAAGTGGGTGATGCATGAATGAGTGAATTAAGAAAGTAATGAAAACAAGCTATCAGCTCTGTGATGGGTAAAAATCAAGAACAAATAGAAACATGAAATTAAGTACTACTTTAAAGAACAAGAAAAAGAAAAGACTATTCCCTTTTCAGAAGAAAGTAAAGTAGATGCATAATAAGCTGACCATAAATAAATGTTTTTATTTTTGTCTCTGCAGCAGTTTGGCAAAATCCTAGATGTAGAAATAATCTTTAATGAGCGTGGCTCTAAGGTAAGTTCTGTTTCAATACCAAGTGTGTACAGTTTCTTTTTGAGTTTTATTTAATTTTAAACAGCAGTTATTCAGAAGGTGTAAGCAGTTTTGCAAGCCTGGCATAAAAGTATCCCAAGTACCAGCTTGGGTTGGATTATCTCTAAAAGTAATCTAGTGACCATATTTTATCCTAATACTTAAATTCAGAGGGTGATGGGAAAAAAGAGAAGTTGGAGGAAAGTGTGGCAGCATAAAAGCTGTTGGCAGTCCTTGATTAGCCTGAAATTTGGCCTAGGCCAGTGATGGCAAACCTTTTAAAGCTTTCTGTGATATAAACAACCCACTGCAGTACATGTGCCGCTGTTTGCCACCACTGGCCTAGGCTTTTTTACTTTAAGGAAGAGAGAGAAAACTGAGAAAAGTGAAATTCTATGCTCTGAATTCTTTATGGACAGTTTAGTTTTCCAAAAATCCAACTTCAAAGTAGCATACTTAGAAAAACTATAATCAGTTATTGAGTCTAATGTTCTCGCTTGGAATATGTTTTGCAAGGCTTATCCACAGTGAGTAATGACTCAAGAATTCTCCATGAGTTCATTTCTTTCTGTAAGTTTTGCCTAGGCAGGCAAGCTTCAGGGTGTGGAGTCTCTTCAGTAACAAAGGCCAGTGAGTTAATTTTTTTAAAAAGCTGAGATTTTAATTGAAATTATTTTCCCTATTAATTGACAATTTTTATTTAGTTGTCTCTGCTAACCTTTGAAAATAGCTCTTGGCTCTAATCTCTTAAAAATGTGATTTGAGGAAAAGCTAAAATAAAGCCAATAAATGAGTTAATATTTAACTATTTTCAATTTTGTTCTCCAAATTGACCATGCTTTGGGAATTGACCATATATATATATATATATATATACACACACACACACACACACACATACATACATAAATATTCTACCCTATCCATTTGTACTAATACAAATATATACCACTGTTCTAATGCTGCTGATTATTATTCCCTTCCTTTATAGCATGTATCAACACTAAAAGTATTTAATTCTGACTATAACAATTATTTAATAATGAGGTCATTATATACTCCAAGTTTTCATTAAAACAAAAAAGATTAATATGTCTATACAGAACTTTCCCCAGCATTTAATCTGGTAAGTATTTTTAAAGTAAAATTTATTAACTGCAACCAGTAGAACTATTTGTGCTTGTTATTTCCAATCAATTTCTATGCTTTATTATATAATTTGCATTTATTTTTGTGAAGTTTTTAGCTGCAAGGTGAGAAAATGACCATGGCTTAGAGTGGAAAGCACATGAATGTAGAATAAGTATGTGAAGATTATAGAATAAGTATGTGAAGATCGACCACGCTGTTTATCTAAATATTACTTAAGACTTTTTTGGTTTTAAGTGTATGTACTGAAAACAGTCTTAACTCTTAACAACCAGAAGTCCGATATAGTTACATCAAGCATTGAGGCTCCTTCCCAAGAAATTAATTTGATTAAATTACTGTGAAGCAAAGGAAATTGATCTTTCTTAAGGTTTCTTTCATTGACTTCAAGGATTTGCCAAATTTTCTAAAAATTTACCAGTTACTTCTCCCACATAATTTTCATTTTAAAATAATGCCACACACCATATCTTTGCCTTTGGGGAATCTAAAGGTATGTACCGTTTCCCTTCCCTCTGTTTGGTGTCCTCATTTTCCCCTCTTTCTTTGGGCTGCTAAAGGGCAGACAGAGAGTAATGTACTAATTAAATTAGTAGGTGTATTGAAAGCAAAGCACAGAATTCAGGATTGCCCTGGACCTGTCTACCTTTAAGAACTGAGACAAAACCTTATTTTCATCCTTTATCCTCCTGTTACCTAAAGTTCTTTTTCTGGAGTGGGTTCCCCCAGAACTATTCTGAGGCTGTGAAGAAAGATTATTTTCAAGTCATACCCAAAGATGCCTTTTGTTTCACATAGATCCACCTAAGAGAAATTAATGGGCATTTTTCTTTTTGTGAATTAAGTTCCATTTCTCATTTCTTCTGTATGTTTGGAGTTTACTATAAAATTAGTCTTGAACCTGACAAAACGAGACTTTATGTGGTCATATTGTTTTGGATAAGGATTGACTTAGAGTATTTTTCTGTCCAAAAATTCACTTCATTGAATTTTTTAAAGCACTAATGGATGAACTAGTCACAAAATAAATGTGAAATAAGCAATACTTACATGTAAATCAATATTAAATTACTCCAAAATAAAAAGAAACTTTTTACCATTTCTTTTTCTTTTTTTCTTTTTTAACAATGAAACTATCCAGGGTTCTAGAATGTAACCAGTTGAAAACCTAAGAAAGCAATGTTCACTGCAACATTGGCTCTTCCCTACCTGCCAATATTGTTTTCTAGCTTTTGTTAGTAGTTGTTGCTCTCCACAAGGGAATTATTTCCTTGATTTTTTTTTTGCGGGGGGTGGACTAGGGATTGAACTCAGGACCTTCTACTTGCAAGGCAGGCGGCAGCACCACTGAACTAAATCCCTGGCCCTATTTCCTTGATGTTGACTGTTTTTCTTCTCTCTCTCTCTTTTTTTTTTTTTGGTACTGAGGATTGAACTCAGGACCTCACATTTACCAGGCAGGCGCTGTGCCACTGAGCTACATCCCCAGCCCTGATTCTTACCCAGACTGTGTAATATGTAATTTATTTTATTTATTTTTTTGTCATCTTAGTTCTCCTTTGTAAAAACAAAGTCAGCTGTATCTAATTTCTTTGGGTAACTAAACAGTCCTCTTTTGTAAATATGTAATTAGGACATATGATGAGATATGATATTTCAAAAAAATAATTTACTCAGACTCTAGAAAATTACCATGTGAATGTATTTAACTTTATCAATCCTCCAGATTTCATTAGTAATGACAGTATAAACACAGTTAATAAGGTAATGCCTAGAGTGGCCATATGACCTGGTTTGGATAACCCTAGTTTATACGTTTTGTATTACCATGGTTATTAATAATGTAACCTTCTTCAGAATATCCTAGCTTAACCTATAAACTGTTATGCTCTTTATAAATCTTTTGAGTAACAAGTAAAAAGCATCCTTTTGAAAGGAAAATATGGCCCTTAATGAAAAGTACAGAAAGCATTCATAGTTCATTTAAGAGGATGTTCACTGGTCCTGTTCTCAAATTATGTTCTTCTTGTCTTTTTGTTTCACATAAAATTCTTTTTTTGTTTTTTGAGACAGGATCTTGCTATGTAGTTCAGGCTGGCCTTGCACTCACTGTGTAACCCAGGCTGGCCTTGCACTCACAGTGATCCTCCTACCTCGACCTTCCAAGTGCTGGGACTACAGTCATGTGCCACCATACCTGGCCTCACATGGAATCATAAACAGAACCTACGTAATGGTCATGTGTCCCCCACAATCCTTGACCTTACAGTTCTTTGCTAGAGTCTTTCAGTGTTTAAGAACTTTTTACTTTCCAGAAAGTTTTTTGTGATAATTATCCAAGTTTATTTTCAAAATTAGATTATAACAGTCATATATTCCATAAGATTTTATCAAAATGCTTTTAGTGTAGTTGTCCCTTGAAGGAACAAAATGAACATACACTGAGTGTGTGGAAGCCATCACCTGTTCACACAGTACCTGCTACCTGTCAGGGCCACGGCACAGGAGTGCAGGCTCTGGCAAGTGTGTGGCTATTATTTCTCTCAGGTGGTCTAATAAGAGGATCTTAGAATTGGTGAGGCTAGAGTTAGGGAAGGTAAGACTTCTTCCCAGTCCTCAGGCACAAGTAGTGTACTCTACTTTCTTTCCTGTTACCCTGGCTTTTGATTTCATGAGAAGAGAATCTCTCTCTCTCTCTCTCTCTCTCTCTCTCTCTCTCTCTCTCTCTCTGGTCAGAATACTTTCTGTGAAATCACACTAAGTAGGTAGGTCTTTGTGATTTTAGTACAATTTGATAGGTAACACTGACATGCAATGTTTTCCATTGTACTTAAAACTGAATTAACAGTGCATATATTTTTAGCCATACCCAGGAGATCTGTCTGCTTTTGATTTCTCCCTTAAAAGTTACGTGGTAAATTTTCTTTCTCATTATTCTGAGATGGAAAAATTCAGAGATTATACAAATTTAAAAATATGTTTACAGTGCTCACCCTATTGCTTGTTATTTATTGCAGCCTGAGGCCAGACTAAAAAAGGTGACAGTTACTCGGCTCCTATATGTCCTTGATGATGAATGGATGTCAAGGCAGGTGATGAAATTGCTGTCCCACTCATAGAAGTTTTAACTGTAACCATACTCCTGATAAACCCTTCCTTTATTTCTTAAGACAGCTAGGATAGCTAGTAAATCACCAATGTAACACTGACATATTTAAGTAACTAACACTGACTTGTTAATGTAGACTTAGGGGACTGAGAACGTCCACAGGGGTATATAAGCCTTTGTTGTCCAGGATAGTGTCCCTACTGAGCATTGGAATGTGGACAGGCTAACTGCAATGTCCTATAAGTGTAAAGTACAAGAGAACGTTAAGCATCTCACTGATAACATTTATACATTGTTGCTATACTGAATTGATAAATGATGTATAAAACACATTGTTAAAATTAATTTTACCCATTTCTTTCTACTGTTTTAATGTGACTGTTAGAAATTTTTAAATTATATGTTTGGTTCATGTTATAGTTCTTTTGGGTAGCCCTGGTATAGACAAAATGTACTGACATCATTTTTTAAGTTTAGATGAAAATTCTTCATCCTCTTACCTGAAATGTTTCCTTTTAAGACTTTAAAATTCAGTGGGAAAGAATTTTGGCCAGCTATTCCACAGAGGACTAACATCAAGACTATGTAAGAACTAAAAAAATCAAACTCTTTCGAATAAAAGACCCAGTCAAAAAATGGGCAACCAAAATGAATAGACATTCTCAGAAGGAGTTCAGATGGCCAATAAATACATGAAAAAAATACTCATTATCACTGGCCATCAGAGAAATGCAAGTTAAAATTACACTGAGAAATCATGTTACCCCAGAAAGAATGGCTATAATCAAAAAATCTAATAATAACAAATGCTGGAGAGGATGTGGGGTTAAAGGAACTCTTTTTCATTGTTAGTGGGATTGTAAAGTAGTACACTCACTACGGAAATCAGTGTAGAGATTCCTCAAAAACCTAAAAATAGAAACTACCTTTGACTCAACTATTCCTCTTCTGGGTATTTTCTCAAAAGAGTTAAAGTCAGCTGGGCAGGGTACTTAACTCAGTGGTTCTGCCACCTGCCTCGCAAGCACAAGGTCCTGAGTTTGATCCCTGGTACCCCCCCAAAAAAAAGTCATTATGTTATGGGACTATGTGTATATGGATGTTTGTAGCAGCACAATTTATAATAGCTAGATTTGGAAATATCATATGTGTCCATTAACAGATGAATGAATAAGGAAAATGTGGTGTTTAAACATAGAGGAATACTACCATACCATAAAGAATGATAAACTTGAGGCATTCATAGATAAATGGATGCAACTTGAGAACATAATGTTAAGTGAAATAAGTTAAACACATAAGCTCAAATATGATATGGTTTCTCTTATGTGAGAGACACAAATTATATAGAGAGAGTGAGAGAAAGAGAACAAAATAGAAGAGAGATAAACAAAGTATGGTAAAGTCCAAATACTTTCCCACATTATGTATTCCATTTCAAAAATATTTTAATATATATGCTGGTTTCATTTATATTACTAGTTTATCATAATTTGTGGAAAAGAAAGTTTTGTGTTATTACCTGTTTCTTTTTTTGTAAGAATCTTTTTGGTTTATGTCTTGTATTCTGGGTAATTACTTTGAAGATAATGATGCACAGTGTATTAACTATTATTGTCTTATGAAATTTTGTATCATTTTTTCATAAAATAAAGTTTGAATTTAAATCTATTCATTAGATTATATAATGTATTACATATCTGCACAGATTGGTTATTATATATCAGTGTTTGATATGTTGTGTGATTATTTTGAAGGAGTTTAAGGAAAATATGTTAGATTTAAATCTGATTTTACTTTTTTTTTTCTAAAGCAAGAAATTAGAATGACCAAACTTAATGTTAGTTAGCTTTCTAAGAATGAACAAACATTAAAACATGATTTCATGTAAGCAGACTTCTGTAACTTTTAAATATGGATAACATGCGACTATCCTTGGCAAAACTCCTCACACCTTTTCTAAAACACTTAAATTTTATTGATATAATAGTACATTTAAAAAACTTTTTAAGCTTTAAGTTATATGATTGAAACTGGAATGTAAGCATGAAAGATAAGGAAGCATGATCTTTGGCTTGAAAAAAAATCACCTGTTTAAAGTTTCAACATGCAAGAAAACTATTTAAGGAAATACTCTAAAAACACTGATCATACCTCCACCTTCTTGAATGTGGATTTTAACTGTGTGATCTGTATAAATATTCCATGCTTCTGTATAAATTGCTACAAGTTTGGTGGCATAAAGCCACACACATTTGTTTTCTTAACAGTGCTGGAGGTCAGAATTTTGACACTCCAAGGTATAGTATTGTGTTCCTTCAGGAGACTCCAGGAATGATCTAATTTTCTTGTCTGTTTGAGCTCCAGAGGCTGTCCATATTCCTTGGACTGTAGCCCTTTCTGTTTTCTCGGCCAACCATGGCTAGTCAAGTTCTTTCTCAGGCTGCTGGGATTAAATCCTACTTCCTGTTTTCATCTGTAAATCTGAGGATTTCATTGGGTCCACCAGATTATCTGGGTAATTTCCCCATCTCAAAATCACTAACCTAATCACACATGCAAAATCCTTTGTCATGTAAAATGGTATATTCTCTGGCTCCAGGAATTAGGGTGTGCACAACTTCCAAGGCCATTCTGCCTCTTCATGGTCTCTTTATCTTCAGAGAAAAGAAAGAAAACCCCCCTATTTCTGTGTTTTATATTAGAGAATCCCACAGCCTCAGCCAAGCATTCTTCCTTCTTCTAGCCTAGAAAGAGATGCTTGTAAAGACTTATTTTTTTCTGTGTTATCTTGATTAGTTTTTCCTTTGACATGTAAGCTCCCTTCTTTAAACACTTAAACAATTGAAAGTGCAGTTTTGCTCCAGAATAAAAGCATTATTGAGAAAATCTTACAGAAATGGAAATCAATGTTAGGCTTTTTGTTTGCTGACCGAAAAGTTCAATGCTTAATAATACCACATTTAAGTCCTTTGGTTGCAGTTACTGTGTCATTCATGTTTTATTATTAGATCCCAGAAGGAAGGTTATGGAAGACATTTCACAAATAGGTTTGAAAATGAAAAATGAGGATTTGGGGACTAACATAATTTAGTAAATAGAATCTACATTCCAAATTGCAAAGCTTAGTTTCTGATTTTCTCACCATTAGTTATATATGTTTGGGTACTTCATTTTGACTCCGCTTCTTTCCCTTCGAAATGAAGCCAACAGAGTTTTCTTTACAACAGCATGGTTGTATTTAAGGAAAAAATATATAGAGATATGTATTTTATGTATATGTGTTTGTGTGTGTTTGTGTGTGTGTGTGTGTGTGGTTTGTATGTGATTATGTAGATAGTGCTAAAATTTAAAACCTAAGTATTAGGCTCCACATAAATTAATAGTAACTCAACTCTTTATTAATTTTCCCAAGGCACAAAATTTACTATTCTGATAATTGGTTGGAATAAAGTTTATAATGCTTTCAAGTGTGATTAAAAAGATAAAAAATCACTATCTGTGATTTTTTTTTTTTTTTTTTTGGTACCAGGGATTGAACTCAGGTCCTTGCATTTGTGTGGCAGGCAGTGAAACCACTGCCTCTGTGATTCCCGGCCCACTGTGATCTTTTTTAAAGGGCTTAGCTTTCCTATTGGAGGATTCTCTGAGATTAGAGTGCTGGCTTCTTCAGGCGATGCTAACATAGCTGATTGATGGTACCCTTGCTTACTGACTTGCCCTGCTGATACACCCTAAGATGTCAAAATGGCTGTAACAGGCTGAGATTAAAATTTGCTTCTGAAAATGTCCCCATTAATATTTTCCACAAATGTTATACATTCTGTAGGAGAATATTGATTAAAAGTATCCACAGTATTTCATCACGAGCAAAATTTAAAATTTCCATTAGCCAAGCATTGTGCTTTCTAGGGTGCAGTATTTGTATCAGTATTGAAATTGTAAATAGAGATAATCTTTTGAAACCTTTCAGATACTACCCACTCATTATTTAGAGTGCTGAAGAGTCAGATCTCTCAAGATGATGATGCCAGGTGTGGTGGCACACACTTCTGTTCAAAGCACTGGAGAGGCTGAGGCAGGAAGATTGCTGTGAGTTTGAGGCCAGCCTGAACTACATGGCACGCTCCTGTCTCAGAAAACAAAAATAAAATCCAAAATGATGGAGATGCTTTTTTGAAATTTTCTTATTGAGCAATTGCACATTGTTTACCTTCCACTTAATACCATATTTTGTTTAGAAAGGAACTTACACTGTTAAGCAGCAAGAGAGACCATCAGCAAAAATAAAGGATTTTGAGTTATTATGGAATATTCTAAAGGTCCTAGGGGAATAATGAAGCTATTGGAAAGTGACTTTCCAGAAAATACTAAAAGTTGACCGCTCTTCAGATGTAAATAGTTTGAAATTATTTGTAAAATTATGGTTGCAAAGTAGAAAAATAAGGACAAAACATCTAGAATAAAGCTGATGTGATGCTTTATGAAATAGCTATGTAGGCCAGGGATGTAGCTCAGTGGCACTGCACCTACCTAGCAAATGAAAGGTACTGAGTTTGATCCCCTGTACTACCACCCCAAAGAAAACTGTGTAATATTTAATAAATCCTGCTGACATTTAAATTAGTGGCATGGTGCTGTATACAAAGAAGTGAAATGAGTTAATCTTTGAAATTTTTCTACTTAATGTATTTAAGGATTTGCTCTATTTTTGTAGCATCTAGAAGAGGCAAATATGTTAAATTAATTATTACTCATATCAGCTACATTGTATATTTTTTCCTACTGAGTTAATATAACTCATGTTGGTAGTGTAGATCTTGTCACCAATGTGGATTCCCTGTTGACTGTGCCTTTCCCCATACTATATGTGCAGAATTACTAATATATTTAATAATAGATATAGACATCAATAGATGCATAATTTAAGCTAATTTGGGTTAACAGTTGAAGTTCACCTGGAAATATTTTCACTGTCAGGTGTCAGTCCCTTCATTTAAAATTGGCGTTGAAGAAAAGTCACAACTGGCTATTACTTAGTGATATTTTCATTGGCTTAGAAGAGCGTGAATGTCTCCTTTTCCCTTCCTTGTACCTACATAATTGTGCTCAGAAGTACTGTATGTCTTAAGTTTCCCTGTTGCCCAAGGAATTCATATAAGAAACAGGCAAAATAGGACTAATTAGACTGTCTAAAAGATCTTACTACATAGTGATTAATCTTGAGTGTCAGATTTCATGTAGCATTTACTAGAGAATAATAAGTTTGGGATGTCAGTTTCTTTTTAGTACCTAAAGGAAATGAATTGAGAGAGAAAGGTAAGATATTTATGTTCAGATTCCTTGATGAATAATTTGACCCGAGTAACTAACTATTCCTTAATTTTGGTCTGGCCTCACATGCTTTATATTTTATTTTATTAGATATTAATTACATTACTGTTGTTATTACAGTTCTTTATCTTTTTATTGGGTTGAATTTCCCTTTACAAAATATGCATGGACAAAAAATGTGACTTTGGGAGACTATGCTGAGTTGTTGATGTCAGTTTCATACTGTGATATTTTTCTCTTTTTATCAAGAGATCAGTATTTCAATGTAACGATGTGCATGTTTTCCCCCCTTCTCCCGCTGCATGCAGGGATTCGGGTTCGTAACTTTCGAGAATAGTGCTGATGCAGACAGGGCCAGGGAGAAATTACACGGCACCGTGGTAGAGGGCCGTAAAATCGAGGTGCATGTCTTCAATAATTCAATTTCTGGTTTATACTTTGATTTCTCTTTTTTTGTATCACCTCATTTATTTCACATTTGGAACCCCGTCTTGAGTGTATGTGCACTGTACATGTGTTTTTAATCTGTGTTCTTCACCTTCTTGCACTAAAATAAAAAGTAACACTGCTGTCTGCCGACCCCTTTTTTTCATTGTCTGGGACTTTGATTTTGATGTTTTTCCACTGTGGGGTGTGTGTGTGTGTGTGTGTGTGTGTGTTTCATTTACTTTTTTCCTCTTCCCAAAATGTTCATCCTTCTGCTCTCTTGATTTTTTTTCCTTTGCTTCAGTTTGCTAGACTCTGAATTCCTATGGTGAGACCTAAACAAAACCAATTTTTAAGGTGTTTAAAAATTTTAAGGTGTCTCAAAACTATCTAATTGGTAACATTGTGTTCCGTGATCAATCAAGGGACCAGCCAACATCCTCTTTCTCGAGGCCAGTTTGCCTCCATGTGGGTGTGATAAGAATGGAATAGATTTTACAGATGTTGTGGGGAGCAAGGAAAGAAACCCAGAACTCATGTGGTTTTTAAATCTTACCTAATATGAAGAATTTCAGCAGTTGATTTTTAGATTTTACAAATAACATCCTCAAACATAGTGTTTGTTGGCTGGCCTGCAAGTGTACTATATCTGTGCAGGAGTCAGCCCTCAGGGTTCCCCAGCCGTTTTTAATAGTGCATTGAAGGTTAACTGGCTCCATTCCCTTTTCCCAGTTTTTAAAAATATTAAATATAAAAGCCACCATATGAGTAAGATGTCTGCATATTTCGCTTCCCCCCCCCTTTCCAATGGTTTAGCATTTAGGGCCCTTCACTTGACTCACTCTTTCCATCGTAACTATACACAGTGCTGGTGATGGTGCCCATTGGCTGGCGGTAAGTGGGAAAAAAAATGCTAGAGAAGAAGCTCTTTAAAAATGTAATTACAAAACAATTAAGAAAGAAAAAGTCCATCTGCCATCTCACATTAACACAAAAAATGTGATTTGACTTGTTGTCCCTCTTCCCTTTCCTTTTCCCCTTTTATTTTCAATGCTGTTGAGTAATGCCGCCTGGACTTTGGATGTACATATTGTTTTGTAGCAGTCTGAGCTGTTTGATTACTGACTTCATGATATTTTTCCCCTGGCACATCTTACTCAGAGTTAAACTCCAGTTTGGCTGGTTTTATTAATGCACTTCCTGCCCCTACTTCCTTCTCTATTTTTCCCCTTTCCCAAACCACTGTCTGTAGCTCTGCCCTTGACTGCTCCTTTCCTGGCTCTTTTCTTTTTCCCTGCCTCACTGTTCTCTTTACCCAAATTCTTGTTCCTGTCCTTTGCTATTCTTGCTCCCCTTTCCTTCTCTGTTCCTTGCAGGTGTTGGTCTCTTTTTGCTTACTTGCAGTTTCTGATTGATGCTGGCCACTTTCCTTTAATGTGCTTAGTTGCATTCTGCTCTAGCAGCTGTTTTAAGCTCTTGATCTATTCTAACCTTGCTCTTTACTTTCTCCTGTCTTTCTGAAATTTTTCCCCTTCTTTCATTTGTGTGTGTGTGTGTGTGTGTGTGTGTGTGTGTAACTGCATGCTCTCAGTTTCATCATTGTTGTCTCCCATTCTTTCTTTATAAATGTGAAATGTTTATATTATCTGGGGGTAATACAAGAGTAAATGCAGTTTCAAGCATTCCTTATATAGGATGAGCCTCACTGTACAAATTGTAAAAGACACATTAAAATGTGTTTTACTTCTAGTGCTAAAATCCATTTGTTTGTAGCATGAGTTTAGCACAATATATGCTACACCATAAGGCAAAATAAGACATATTTATATTTTATAATCTTTTAAAATTGGCACAGTTTATGACCTAAAAATCTATAGTGACATTCTGTGGTGAGCTCCCTGCAAGAGCTTTGAGGCTGATCCTGACACTGGACTGCCATGTCCTGGCTTTCAGGTTCTGTTCATCTCCTCTCCAGCAGCACCTGCTTGCCTTAGCACTCACAGTACCTTTTTACACTGTAAAGAGGGTGGAGAGTGCTATAAAACAAAAGAAGTAAACACTGTATTTTCATACTTCTTTTAAGTGCCTACTTTATAGGCCTCCTGAAAATTTAGACTATGTAGTCTAGACAATGTAGAACAGCCCTTAAGACTATCAACATGGGTATTTAAGTTCCTGTGTGTGTATTTTTTTTTAAATTTTTTTTTAACTAACCTCAGAAAAGCTGGGACAAACATCAAAAATGCAGAACATGAGGACTGATGAAATCAATAGATTTATTTTTATCATTTTCCTGTAAATCTCCTTCCTTGTCCAGGTGGCAAGCCTGTTTTATTAATGAACTTCATTTGTAAATATAATTGTTTCCTATTTACTTTTCCCCACATTTTCCTTAATGTAGAGACTTCTGTTTAAGGATCTTCAGAGAACATACAAATGTATTTTTTTAGAATACTGAGTGATAAAGTAGCCCTAGGTTTTCATATGAAAACTGCATTTTACTCTTGTTAACCTCATTTAATAAGCACTTAAATTAAAATTGTGTATATTAATGTTTTATATTGTTATATGATTACATAAATCTGTGCTACCAGAAATTTACATTTTAAATTAAGTACTATACTACTGGATAAGCAACTTCATGTTCCTTAATGTGTTCTATTTCCTCCCTGCCCCTTCTTTTCACTTGTTATTTTTAGGTGAATAATGCTACAGCACGTGTAATGACCAATAAGAAGATGGTAACACCATATGCAAATGGTAAGAACTTACGAAACATCTTTGAAAAAGGTGTCATTTATTCTTTTATAAACATCTAAGAACCTCTGTTTATTTCAGTCTTGACAGTTTGTTTTATTTATATTGAAGTAGTCTCTCTAGGAGAATGTTTTATATTTACAGGTTAGCTTTTTTCTTAGAATTAAGCTAATAAGCTTTTTTTTTCCTTCATTTTCTCATATTTATTCTTTCCCTTCTTTCCTTTCCCCTCTCCTCCCTTCCCCTTTGGACCTTTTCTATTTCACATTATCTATTATACATTTTGATCCTTATTTACACTTTCTTTCTCACACCAGAGAAACTATTCAGTATTTACACGTGTGTCCTATTTATTTCACTTAAGAGTATGGCCTCAATGTGCAGCCCTTTAGCTACAAATGTCTCTAGTTTCTTGTTCTTTATGGACAAATACACACACACACATACACACACACACACACACACACACACACACACACACACACACACAAACATCTTTATCCAGTCTCCAGTTGATGGGCAGTTTGGTTGTTTTCAAGTTTTAGCTATCACAAACTGTGCCACTGTAAACATAGGTGCTCATATATCGCTGTGGTATGATTTAATTCTTTTGGGAAGATACCCAGCAGGGGCATAGCTGAGTCAAATGGGACCTGTAATCCTAGTTTGAGGTATCTCCATATTGATTTCCATAATGGTTGCAACAGTCTACACTCCCTCCAAAAGTGGAGAAGGGTTCCTTTCTCCCCACAACCCTGCCAGCTTTTGTTGGTTGATTTCTTGATAGCAGCCATTCTCTCTGGAGTGAGGTGGAATCTCAGAGTTGTTTCCATTTGCATCTCTCAAATGACCAGTGATGTTGAACATTTAAACTAAGCTTTTCATTTGTTAAGGTATTTTGTTCTCATTATCATTCATCTTCTACAAAGTACAAACATGCCATTTGAAGCTGCTTACTCACCCAAACTAGGACCCCCTTGAGCTCCCTCTTTTTCCATCAAGCTACTATAGTTCTACTGTTAGATTTGTACACATTGTCAACTGTACTTTTCCTACTGATTGATCCCTTATGTGAGCATGAGTAAGATAAGTTGGAAGATAAGTGCATTATAATCACTTTGTAACTCTAAACCCCTTGCTTTCCTTATTGCATATAACCATGGCAGTAATAGCCATGGTTATATGTGTGAGAGGGGTTTTCTACTCTGATTACAAGTGATATAGCAAGTTTTATAGATGTTTCTCATCTATAAAATGAGAAGGAAAATTTTTAAGAGTTTTTATGAATAATTGTCCTAACAAAAACAGAACTCTTAACAAATGCAGATGTACTCAGCTACCTCATCTTTGACAAAGGAGCTCACCATCCTCAGTGGAGGAAAGATAGCCTCTTTAATAAATGGTGTTGGAAAAACTGGATGTCAACCTGCCACAGATTAAAATTAGACCCTTATCTTTCACCATGCACTAAATTAAAATCCAAATGGATTAAACATCTAAATATTAAAACAGAAACATTAAACTTGCTGGAAGGTAAGTTAGGCAGAACTCTGGAAGACATTGGTATAGGAAAAGACTTTATGAACAAATCCTCAGTAGCACGGGAACTAGCAGATAGAATCAACAACTGGGATCTCATCTTACTAAAAAGCTTCTGTACTTCAAAAGAAACCATTAGCAGAACTAAGAGACAATCTACAATGTGGGAAAAAATTTTTACCAGCTGTACCTCAGACAAAGGACTATTATCAAGGATATATAAAGAACTCAAAACAATCAGTCCCCCCAAATATAAAGACCCGATCCAAAAATGGGCATCCGAAATGAACAGACATTTCTCATACAAAGAAGTGAAAGCAGCAAGAAAATATATGAAAAAATGTTCCACATCACTGGTCATTCGAGAGATGCAGATGAAAACAACACTGAGATTCCACCTCACCCCACAAAGAATGGCTGCTATCAAGAAATCACACAATAACAAATGTTGGCGGGGTTGTGGGGAGAAAGGAACCCTCCTCCATTGTTGGTGGGAGTGCAGACTAGTGCAACCACTATGGAAATCAATATGGAGATACCTCAAAGAGCTTGGACTGGAGGTTCCATTTGACCCAGCCATCCCTCTGTTGGGTATCTTTCCAAGAGAACTAAAAGAATCATATCACAGAGAAGTATGTGCACCCATGTTTATAGCGGCACAGTTTGTAATAGCTAAATCTTGGAAACAACCTATTTGCCCATCCGTTGGAAACTGGATAAAGAAGTTGTGGTTTTTCTATAAAATGGAATATTACTCAGCCATAAAGAGCGAGAGAATAGATTCATTCATAGGAAAATGGATACATATTGAAGATATACTCCTAAGTGAAATAAATAAGTCCCACATGTGTAAATACCAAATAGTTTCCCTGGTGTGAATATTCTGCAACAATGCATAAGATTCTAATAAGATTACTGACATTTAGAAATGGGAGGAAAGGAGCTAAAGGTGTAGGGAAGGTGTGATGCGTAGGGGAAGAACAAAAAGGGAAAAGAAAAAAATGTGAGAGAATGAAAAGATGAAAATAAAGTGTTTGTAGATGGGGAGGGGAGGAGGGGGTGAAGGGAGGGCAGAGGTAAGGGGAAAAAATGAGAATCAAGACTTGCCATGTAAAGGTACATGATCCCAACAATGAATGTAACTGTACTGTATCCCTAAAATGTACCAATAAACTCAATAAAATTAAAAAACAAAACAAAACAGAACTCTTATACCAGTTGTCAAATTTAACTGATTTGTGTTCTCTAAGTGTGATAGCACATACTATAACTTTAATCTGCAGTGCCACAATGATTTTGCCAAGTATTCTGCAGAGTCAACCTGAGGAAGAATAAAGAGGAAAGCAAATGGGCTGGGTCCTGAGGTCTCTGGTTGTCTTTTCTTTACTTTTCTTGCTTTACTCTTTCTTTGTTTTTTAATAGTGCTGAGTATCAAACCTTGGGCCCCCTGCATGCTAAGTAGATGCTTTTCTACGGGGCTATATCCTCTGCCCTCCAGTTCTGCTTTGGCCTAAACAACTTTTCATTCTCTGTTGTATATTTAAGGGTTCTGCATAAGATTTTATTTAAAATAAAAGGGATAATTACTGCTGTTTTCTTTAGAAGTTTGAACCTGAATATTATAGGCCTTATGTGATAGTAAAATTTTGAATTAAGTAGAAATATATTAATATTCAGTATATCCTATGAGGTCTTTACTAAATACATTCAGCCTAGCTTTTTCCACACATGATAGAATTTATCAGCATGATTTCCTTTTTTAACCTATTTTATCAATTGTATAATCATGAAATACCACTACCTACTGCTTTACCTCTTGCTTTATTTTTACTGCTATTATAAAAACAAGTTCCTGTAATTTTGATAAAAAGGCAACATAAACAAAAGGGAGAAAGAGACTTAAAGTATGTCAAAGTTTCTTTAGATCCAGGGAAAATGACATGACAGAAAGAGCCTCTGATAGGATTTCAGAAGACAGAAATTTTACTCTCTGGATATGACTCTACGTTTTATTCTGTGACATCAGACCGCATTTTTAACCTGTCAGATTTTGTTTTCACATCTTTAAGTTGTAAAGCCTCTTTAGAAATCATCAACCCAACTGTCTCTGCTTATTTAAGAATGGCCCGAAGAACTATAACATTTACCCACATTTCATAGATTATGGAACCTTTCTGCCTCTTTGGGTTTTGTAAAGGCCAAATGGCATCTTTAAAAATGCATTCTAAGCTGTGTAAAGCATTATTAACAACATAACAACTTATATCCATTTATGGATTTAAAAGGAACTCAGGGCTGGGGTGTGGCTAAGCTCTTAAGAGTCCTTCCCTGTCATGTATGGGGCCCTGGGTTGAATCCCTAGTACCACTAAAGAAAATAAAGGAGTGCTCGGGAAATATGGTCATTGGTAGAAAAGAAAATGGTCAGTTTTGTGGAAGTTATTTTAAATTATTGATACTCAAGAAAACTGCTGCTGCTATGTTTAAGGTCCTAAGAAGAGTATGCTGCAAAACTTCCGGAGAATTTTAAGTTAACATTTTTGTTTATGTTGGTTGGAATCACTTAATCTGTGCAAAAGCATTGTGCCATCTCTTTGCAATTTACACACATTTGACATTGCAGAGCAGTCATGCTTTCTAATGCAAGTCGTATTTGAACTTAGATTCCACTGCAGTTTTATATAGAATAAGGGACACCATCATCAGGAACATATAAAATAGCACATTCTTTAGCACATCAAAATAGGAGATTGGATTGAGAATGAATAGATTTTCTCTTAAGTAATGCCGTTGGTTATTGCCATTTAAATCTGGTAATTTCAATAGAATTGGTTTCCACTCATATATTTATAAAGTAGCAATGGTACAATGCAAGGGAACAAATCAACAGAAGAGTTAGTCTTTCAGAAAAATAATAAAGTATGTTTGCTTATTGTATGTAAAATTCAGTGTAAATATTGACTAAAATTTGCTTAAGTGGGGAATAGTACATTTTTCTCTTTTTATAAAACACATGCCATATTCCTATATATATTTTTAAAAGGCAAAGAAGAAATAAAATGACATCAAACATAATGTTAGGAAATTTCTAGCATTTATAAACATTGAAGCTAATGTTCAGAAATTCTGATATCTTAAATCTGATTCACTTAAATATGTCCATTACAGATTGAGCCACTGAAGTTGGAATGTACCCTAAATTTTATTACTGCATGTCTTTCCTTTTTTATTTGGTGGATCCCAGTGAAATCCCAGTGGTAAATTCCAGTGAAAGAGGATTTCATTCTACCCAGAAAACCATCATGATTTAATTGGACCTGGAGTCTAAAATCCAAGTCAAATTTGAGTCCAGTCAGAAGATACCTTTATAAGATAACCATAGTGATAAAGACTGTTAAAGTGATGTGTGAGAAAGTGCATCACCCTGTGAGGTGATACAGAATGGCACATGTACTGCCTTCTTTCCTTTTGCTAAGCTAAGAGTAGGGCATTTGGGTAGTGTTGTGACAGCACTATAACCCGTGGGTTTATTTCTGTCTCTTTTTCTTGCTTTTATTCTCTCTTCATCTTCCTTTCTCTTTCCCAATTTGTCTTTCTCCACAAGAACCCCATACATATATCCTTGCCTACTTTTCCTGATCCTCTCATTATCCATTCAGCTATTCTAGTCCTGCTTCAAGACAGTGCCACTGCCCTCTCATATAAACCCCAAGCTGGCTTTGTAAGGAGGAATTAATAGTAGACAAATATAAACCCAGAGATGTCTAAAGCCAACTTGATATGCACTGGTCACTCCTTCAGTAATCTTAAATGCTCACTGTCTTCTGTTTCAGGTTGGAAATTAAGCCCGGTAGTTGGAGCTGTATATGGCCCCGAATTATATGCAGGTAGTATTTAAATTAATGTTTCTATTTATGCTGTTTAACTATTATGGCCTCTGTAGTTTCAATTTTCTACCCCTTTGTAATCTTTTTTCCATTTTTAAATGCAATCAGCATCCAGCTTTCAAGCAGATGTGTCCCTGGGCAATGATGCAGCAGTGCCCCTATCAGGAAGAGGGGGTATCAACACTTACATTCCTTTAATCAGTAAGTAGCCTATGTTGGCCTGGAATGGATTTGGACTACTGTGACTGAACGGTAGTGTGCTAGTTTGTTATATGTTCTAGTCTAATACATAACTGAAAAGAAAACATTTTCAAGAAGGGCAATAAATATTATCATAATGCCTTGTTCTGTTTAACCCATACTAGAATGTTCCTGACCACATGTGAACAGACTGCCACAAAAGTAGTTGGAAAGAGGGGATAAGGGGTGAGGGCATGTGAAGAATATTCATTCTGTACTTGATAATAAAACAGATATGAATATGTGTAGCATGTTGTTATTCATGTCTTCTGCTAGTCTATTTAGGACTCTCCAGTGGAGAGTCACTTAAAGGCACCTCCAGTACAGCTGATTATTCTCAGCTCCCTTGATATCTCTAAAGTCACTTTGACCTGAGCCTTTTTATTCTGGCAAGAGGTATAATTAAACAGGATTCAGTGGATGTGGAAGTAATGTCTCTGCACATTTTCCAAAGAACAACACACTTAAAATAAGCCGTTAGAGAATGTCTGCCTTTTGAGTGGATGACAGGGTAGGAGTGGTTTTCCTCTCACCTTAAATTTCTGCCTTAAAACATTACAGATGAAAGAATGAAATAAACTAATGAAATGAAATAACTAACCTATTGTGTGCCTTGGAGGTGATACCACATAAAAATATAAAAGAACATCCTTTTGAGAATCAATTATATTCACGCAATGTTAGGAAACAAGATTAATAATTGGCCACTGAAAGAGTTCATATCAATCTGATTTAAACTTTCCACAGAAATTAGAAGTCTTGTCTCTTATTGGGCCAATAGTCCTCAGAGCTTCTTGACCTGTGTCTTACTAGCTAGCATTGTAATGGCAAAATGGGAAGGAACAGAATAAATTCACTCAAGTTGTGATCATTTAGGCATGGAATAATTCACTTGTGCATGTCAGATTTTTCTTTCCCCTTCTTTCCCTCTCAGAGACCCAGGGCTGAAGACTATGTGCCAGCTTTTGAACAATGTGATACATAGCTTTTCATCTCTTCTGTAATTTGTTTACAGTGAGTTGTGACTATACATGCTACTGAATGCACATTGAAATTTCTGTAATATTTTGGGTCTCCCTTTAGTTCCTGGCTTCCCTTACCCAACTGCAGCCACCACAGCGGCTGCTTTCAGAGGAGCCCATCTTAGGGGCAGAGGGCGAACAGTATATGGTGCAGTTCGAGCGGTACCTCCTACAGCCATCCCCGCCTATCCAGGGTAAGCATTACATTCCAAAATCATTATGTGCCTAAAAAAAGAAATTGGAGGAAAAAAAAAATACCATGGCCCTCTTGTAACTTCTGGGACATTGCTATGCCACTTAGTATGAATATTTGCAAATGAATGTATTAGATGTCAAGAACCAAAAGATACCATCCTAAGAATGTAACAAAATGTCAATTCATTATATAAATCTTGGTTTTGGCCACCTTAAGCCTTCCTGGTAAGGGCTTAAGACTGTAGCCAGAACCAGCTTGTGTTTACTAGCAGTGTGTTGGCATGGAGTTCACTTAGCAGAGCACGAATATGGATTAACACTACTGCAGAGAACCAAGAGAGGAGCTGGAGATTGTAGTACCAGACTGTGTCTGCTGTGCTCACCCCCTTCTTGCCACCCTGTGTTGGGGCAGAGGCTGGCACATGTGCCCTCCCTTTGGTTTCACTGCCTGGGTGGTGAGCAGCAGAGCTAGTTACCCACAATGGATTTGCTTTCTTTGTAGGAAATGGATTAAAAGAGGTTAATTCAAAGATGAACCAAGTCCAATTGAATCAAGGGAGAAAGGGAGAATTAGGAGGATTAAACTGCAGTTGGCTCCTGAAGGATGGTAAAACAGCTGATGTTGCTGAGCATCCTTCACCCTTTGATTTTTGTGTGGAGGGTGTCTCATGCAGTGGAATGATTCCATAGCAACAAATAAATCCTTTGCTGTTGAAGGGGGAGAAGGAGTGAAGATGGCAGGTTTGTTTTAGTTGTTTCTCTGTGTCAGCCTAAAATGAATATTTTTACCAGAAGTAGACTTGTATAAGTCATTTGTACCAAGGGCTTTCTCTCTTCAGAAATGGGACATTTCTCTTCATCTTTTCTTTGCCTGTGGCAGGTTATTTTCTGTATTCTTACAGAGAAATAAATAGTGGCAGAAAACCCTGTTAAGCGCTACTTAGTTAAAACATAAAGGGAAAGAGCCTCCTTTGTATGTCCTTTTCTGAGAGGAAATTTGGCTTCACCTGGAGGTGTACTAATTTAACATTCATTCATTCATAGACCAATTGGACATTCCATTAGGAGTCCTCCATGCCACAGAATTAAAGCACTATTATTAGACAAGGCAAGTATGCATGTGGAAGTGGGCAGGCTCCAAAAGACCCTGGAAGGGAACTGCTACAGAAAATTACTTTTGTTTGCAAGTTATAGATGTTTAAATCCCATGCATTTCATCATCTCCATCTTCTGCCATGACTTACTTTTAATTTTATCCTTTTTTCTCTCTACTTGACCTTTGACCTTCAACCTCTGACATCTCTAAAGAAATGAATACTTAGTATTGTTTCGTTAAAAAAAATTCAAATAAAACATAAAAAAGATCTTAAAATCCTACACAGTAGGAAAATTGATCATGAAGCTTCTTCCATTTCGGTCTAAGAATGTTTACTGTTATATTTGCAAAAAGACTGCTCAGAGAAACATGGGATTTCTTTATAACCTTCCCAGGTAATTGTATAAAGTCATTGAATTCATTCCTGCTTGATGTAGGTCATTTCAGTATATTGGCCAAACTTGAGAGCCCCTTCTCTACCAAGTCCATGTCAGGTATATATTTGTTCAAAGATATTTTATCTTTTATGTCTAATCACATCAATTTCTGTGCATTACATTGAACACTAATTTCCCATGTTTTCTTTTTTATTAACTAAACTACCTGTTTACATGGAAGATGGCAAGGAATAAGTCCAGTATTTTATGGGGAATGGCCTGGAATTGCTTTTAAGCTTAGTAAACTAATTATCATTAATTAGTTAATTAATTCTAGCCTCCATGTGGCATTTTAATACAGGGAATATTGAAATTCTTGTAGAATTTCAGTGAATATTCCCATTAAGTGATTTGACTTAGGGAAAAATCTACTCATGTTTTTAATGTCAGCATTTCACTATTAAATGTTTTTTAATCTTTGCCTATATCTCCTTACTGAAATCACTGAAGGTTAATTAATCACCTCTTGACCTCAGTGTTTTCTGTTTTTACTAGACAAGTCTCATTGCAGACAAATCTTTTTATATACTGAAATGCAACTGAGAGGCAGATTAGTTTCTATTTTCAGATTTTAAGTGCAATTGCAAACTATGAAAATGTGCAGGACTTAGCCAAATAACCATAAAGTACAGTTCAGTCTGCCTGTTGTGTAGTACAAAGGCATAACATTTAGAACATTGCAAATTGTGACCATACTGTCCTGTAAATATAACAAAATGTTGCTGGAAATAGGATTCAGAAACTTTTCAGCTACTTAAAAAGGAACAAGTTATTTCTTACTCTTGTTAAAAATATGATTTAATGCCCCTACTTGCCAACTTACTAATTATAACAGAAAGTAGTGGTAAAATTTTCCATCTCATTTAGTTGAGTGTACAATAAACAAATCATCTCATTTAAAAGTCAAATCTTGACCTATTATGAAGAAAAATGTTATCTTTTATATCTCTACTGCTGTTTCATGTCTTTTGATCCCAAAATAATATATATATATATATATATATGTATGTATAGCTACCACAAAATAATATATATATATATATATATGTGTGTGTGTGTGTGTGTATAGCTACCACAAAATATTGGAAATCTATATTTTAAGAATAATAGTATAGTGTTGCTCCAGATTCAAGAAAAATAAAAGCCCTATATGTTGTTTGTTTGATATAAAGTCATCTAAAGAGAAACATCTGTTCCTAACTAGCGATGCTCTTGATTTTATTCTTTTAAACAAGATAGGATGATCCTTGGTCACGCCCAGAACTTGAGTTATCAACTGGTTTTTTTCAGGATTCCATGTGTACTCTTATAGTCAAAAAAGATCCCTTAAAATCTTTCAGTTACTCCTTCCCACTCTGGATTATATTGTTACTATCTGGGATCCCCACTGCACCTTTCAATTCTTGGACCTTGGACCAATCACCTTTAACCTTTAGCTCATTATCTCTGCTTGTGAAAGCAATGCATTGTGGGTATTTTTGGTTGTTTTGTTTTGTTTTGTTTTTAATTACATTTCTCTGTTTACTTTGGTCAGAATTGATTGACTTGTTTTTCTGAGGTGTTGCATTGGTTCTTAAAAATGCTGAATAATAATACTTTGCATGCTTGTGTGATCAGGCAAATCTTATTGCATGTCTAATGTGCAGGGTAAAAGCAGGTGATGTATGGATATAAAAAAATTTACATTTTATTATGAAACAAAATAAAGTAATAAACATAATTTTGAAAGGTACATACACATCCTGCCCTGATGGAATTATTTGGGTTCACTTGTTTCATGTTAAATCTCTCTCCATCCCTACCCTCTTTTTAAACTCTTCAGAGAAAGTCTTTCTAGAAACTCTTTCTAAAATACTCCAGATATGAAAAATGGATGTTCCAGTGTAGCTGATTTGGAATAGCCATGTTAGACCCTTCTCTGAGTGGTTTTGTTAATCTTTTAGTTACCAGATATCAAGATGCTCATTCTAGTTTTGCACACCTTTCACTCCTTGCATGTCTTGTAGCTATATAACATGAGTGTGCACTTTCACATTTTCCTCACTGACTTGCCATGGCCCCAAGCCCAGGTTATGTATTCATACATCACCTGCCTGTGTAGAGCGCATGTGCATGCTGCCGTCCTCAATAACCGGAATGTGTTTCTGTTCTTTTGTTTTTTTTTTTTGTTTTTGTTTTTGTTTTTGTGTGGATTTTCTGCAGTGTGGTTTACCAGGACGGATTTTACGGTGCTGACCTCTATGTAAGTACACACACTGGGGCCTTCTTGACCCCATCCCCTGACAAGCCAGCCTTTTTTTTTCTGTTTCTTTTGGTTTGGTTATTTTGGTTTCTTTTTTTGTTTGTTTGTTTGTTTGTTTGTTTGTTTTAATATAGTTTATTTCATTTTTATTTCCTTTTCCTTGTGGATATATATATTTATATATTTATATATTTAAGAATGCAAGCATGCTTCTCTGCCACTGCGCTTGCCCCTGGGTGCAAAAACTGAGCCTTTGGGTCTCTGATTGCTAGGGTCAGTCTACTGGACATATTCTTTTCCCTTCCTATACCCACAGATATTGTATGTATCTCTTATTTATTTTTGAGATGATCAGCAGGTTTAAAGTCTTTTATTACTGTCGTATCATTTGCATACATAAATAGCAAGACTAGCTTGGCCTTGAACCAATTCTTTCCCTTCTCTCCTTTTCTTCTCATTTCACATTCCTCTTTAGATCATTAGAGCTTTGATTTTTGTAGATGGCAATAAGCTTTCTGAACTATATGCTTTCTTTTATATACTTGGAGAAAATAAAAACTTGTGAAAGTACTGTAAAGATTTAATGCCAGTGAACAGTGTAGTAATGAGAGGATGCCAGATATTCCATGTTTTAAGACTTTCTTTATACAAAGGTCCACCATCAGTGGTTCTCTTTTCTCAAGATCTGGCAGGAGGACAAGAATGATATTAATGACCTCAACTCTCTTACATTCTTTCAACTATCACACAAGATTTTTTACTTTAATGGCCATGATAACACTTAATCCATTATTTAAATTGTTTAGCAAAAGGTGAAATTCTATGAATGATTGTCACATTAAAAGATAAATGAAGTGATCTCATTCACAGAGTGACAGGTTTTGAATTTTAAACTCTTATTAGGAGCTCTTCAAATAGTCTTTTTCTGAATACTAGCTTCATCTAGTGAACCAAGTCATTAAGAAATAATTTTATAAGAAAATTTTATCAATATGAAATTATTTTGTGGGGATAGGTTAAAATTGTCTAGATTACTTTCTTTGCCCTTGCTTCCCAAAATCTATAAATAGTACCTTTTTATTGAACTAATTCCACTGTCAATCAGAAATTCTCTGGCCATAATTGGTCCAACACTCTAATTTCATAGATGTTCCTTAGATTATGATTGGTCCACATTATGTAAATTATTCATATAGCAGAGCATAGACCCAACTAATCCATATTTCATGATCCCTCTTTGTATTTTTATTAAAACCCACCTCTTTCCTTAGAATGTTTGCAAGAGATAATTTTTAAAATATTTTTTCTATATCTACAGGTAAACTTAAGAGTTTAGTAAATATTTTACACCAAATTGCACATTCTAAATATACATATTTACATATGTTAATATGTACATTCTCCCATTTACATTAGTATCCATATTCTCATTAAACTCATCCTTATGTTTTCTTGAAATCTAATCTAGGAGAGAAAACTTTACCATTTAAATTAATTCTTAAATCAAGTTTTTTTTCCTTATATTTTTATTTAAAAATTATAACCATGTCAGGCATGGTGGCACAGGCCATAATCACAGCAGTCAGGAAGTTGAGGCAGGAGGATTGCTACAAGTTCAAGGCCAGCCTGAGCTACATAGTGAGTTAAGGCCAGTCTGAATTCCATGGCAAGACTCTGTCTTTAAAAAAAAAAAAAAGAGCAAAAAGTACAACCTAATTCTGTCTTGTTAAGAAGTGCTAATTGTCATCTTAAATCAACCAATTGAAAATTTGTTTATAGTTATTTCAAGTGTAAAATTTTATTGAGATGATTTTTCTACACTTGTCAAGAAAATATTCTTGTTTTTTTTAAAAAAATCTACTAATTGAATTACCTTCTGCAACTAAACAAGTAATTCAGAGATCTGGCCAAAATATTTTTTTTTGATCAGTGGTCCCTTCCTGAATAAATAGTTAAAAGTAATTTTATTATGATATATTTGTACATAGTTTAAAGCAGAGCTTCATGGAGAAAAAAATCTGGTTACTTGTACTAAGATACAACCCAAGCCCTATGACAGCTGTTGAGATGGGCCTAACAGGAGTGAGGCTGTTAAAAGAAGATAGTCTGTTTTCCATATGTGAGGAAGCAAAGACTGCTACTTTAAAACATATGAACAACTGTTCTACCTTGCATTTGTTCCTCTGTCTACATTTTTCCATCAGTGGGACTCTATCCATATACATTTAGTTCTTATTTCCTCAGAAAACCGTATTAGAATGGAAATGATGGAAGATTTTTGTAGTATAAGATGCATTGAATCAGAGAAGACTTTGGGAGAAGCTGGGTTTACTTCTAATACATCAAGCGAAGAATTTTTAAGTCCCTTTCCCTGTCCCACTCATAGATAGTGATCCCTGCTAGCCATTTTCTTCCTTTCTGTTTCTTTATAGCACATTGCTCTCTGGAGAGCTCATCTAGCAGTTGTGTCCAGGGTTTGTAAAGAGACCTGCTGGGGTAGGGATTGGGAGTGTGATGGACAGATCGTGTGTCCCCCGCCCTTTTTTTGCCCAGTAGAAAAGTTATGGTTCACCCTAATTCACCTTCTAAGTGGGATAACAAACTACTCCTAATTCTCGTTCTGTGAAAAGCATGCTTGCATCCAAAGGAAAGAAAAGGCTGGTGGGCCCTATTGTGGGCTTTTTGTATGATTGTTTTCCTTCCACAGCTGTGTTTTTTGAACTGCTCTTCCTGTGTTCTGTTATAGAATAGTCTTACAGGAACCAATCATTAGCGCTAAAATACCTCAGGTAGGAGTGCCAGTGTGACCTGCCAATCAATCAGATTGTGGATTGCAGTGAAAAAATTGAATTATACTAACCATTCCAGCTCCACGTTAGAGATGGGAACAGAGGCTTTTTTGGACAATCAAGAGTTGTGAGCGTGTGATCTAAGCCCTGCTACCTCAGCGGTGCACACAGTCACATTCTAGGCATAATGGCATTTCCTCCAAAATCACGTACTCCTGTCCCACTGCCACATATCTGCACCAGGTGTGTTACACACACTGTCCCGTAACTGCTACCTCTCTTAATTTGCCAATCACATTTGCCCTTGGTATTTTATATTGGAGATCTAAATAGTGGGTACATTTTCTTAATGACTGTGAAAGAAATGTAAAAAGGAAGAAGTAGAACTCTACCCAAATAGGACTTGGTTGAGTCAGTCCCACTTTGGACTGTATAGTAAAATCCTACTAGTGATTGGACTATGCTATGCTTAAGTTTACAGTTGCTTTGAACTCAGAAACTGAGATGTGCATTTCTCTTGCCTTCTCCTTTCACAATGGGAAGATCAGTGAGTTCATTTGGCTAATAACAAACTTCTTAGGAAGTTTGCCCATGACTGCGTGCTACAAAGAAGAAAATATTTGATGGCTTTTATTAGTTTAGTTATTTTATGTGGCTACCCAGTGAGATTTTAAAAATGAACTTATTTGAAGAGATGTGGAATAGTAAAGTGTTTGAAAAGTTTGATTTATTAAAGATCCTCTCTCATCTGTCATAGATGTAATAAAGATACCAAGTTGATCATTATAGTTTCTTCCCTTAACCCCAATTTTAGGTAATAATAAAGTGAACTGTAATTACTACTTTTCAAAATAGGTAGATCTCTGTCAAAAACACTAACTATAATACCATTATTGGATTTTTTTTTTTTT